GCCAAGAGATTATTCAAATTGCCAGTTGTTGCGAGGGATTTTTGGGCAATTGCAGGTTGTTGTGAGGGATTTTTGGGCAATTGAGTTCAATGAATCGAGTTGGGTTCGATGGAACCTATTTATTAGGTTACATCGAACCCAAATTTACTGGGTTCTGTGGAACTTCAATATTGAAAATGGAAAGAACACCGTTTATGGAGAGAAGAAAAACAATAACCGATGGGTAAAGAAGCAATTCTTAATGGTGATGTGTGGATTTGGCGCGATTTCGCCAGGTAGCATGTGACATGATAGAAGTTTTATGCATATCATTACTTTTTTAAGTTTTGCTCTTCACATCATCAAAAAAAAATATAAAAAATGCCACCTAAGCAAGGTTAACGGCCCAAATTAACAAAATGATTAACGAAGTGCATTTTGTATAGTTTAGGGATCAAAAAAGTACAAAAAATTATTGAAAGATAAAAAATGTGCATTTTATAAAGTTAAGGGACCAAATTAAGCATTTAACCTTTTTATTGAGAATTTTTTTTCTTTTTCGGAAATTAACAATTTCGGCCACCAATACATTAGAAACTACCTTAACATCAAATAATAATAATAATAATACTTTAGTTGTACAATAAAATATAATTTTTTTTATTTCAAAATCTCTTACAATAAAACCTTTATTATATCTCTATATATATTTTGTTTTATTTAGAATTTCACACTTAAAATATGAAAATTTTCGTTGCAGCACTCTCATTATTTTCCTTTATCTATCCCATCCCTTATGGTAGACGCTAGCTTGGGTTGAATCAGCTAAACGGCCTGCTTTAATAAATGAGTTAAAATTAAATGAACAATAATTGAATAAAAAATTATCTATATTTTCAATTACATGTTTATAATTCAATTTTTAGTATTTATATATCAAAACAATAGCTGAATAGCAACCAAGAGACATATCCGGTCCACCATCACATGGCCCAAACCGAGAGCTGCTGTGTGCTACGTGGACTCCTAAAACTCACAAGAAGTTAAACAGTTCAAAGGGGAACGGACTTTCGTATACGTTTCCTCTACTCCTAGCACGAAAGCTACCAGTAAACCCAAAATAGTGGGATTAGATTACATAAAGGCCGTGCATCTCAACTTCTTGTCCTGAATGTTTAAACCATCCGGTAACGTTCGGAGGCAGTAAAACTAGGGGAAATGATTGGGATAATTATTTTATATAATCTAATGTGTTATTAAAATGATTAATTTTTTTAATTTATATAAAACTCATAATATTAAATATATTCATCCATTTAATAAGTAAAAATTATATGAAAAAATAAAACAAAAGATCGTGTCTATAATACTACCTGTAAAACTATGTAACAAGCATTTACATCACTATCATAATCTACAACCTTGGACCAGACTAAAACTACTATATAATAATCCAGTTAAAATAACCACTTCTTTGAGAGACGACACAAAGATAACCAAGAAATTATTGAGATCTTTATTAACATGAACGTAGATTTGGCGTCTGGAGTTGGAGAGACTGAATTCCAACATAGTATGTATGACATAACTGTTGAGTGTTGGGTATATGTAAAATTTAAAACTGCATGCAAAT